ACGGGCACGCGCTGGTTTTCCCCGCTGACATCGCGAGCCCACGAGTGCAAGTCTTACGGCTACCTGGCCTCTGAGCCGTGGGAGACGCATCGGACACACTGGGGGAATGGTAAGTTGCTCTGGGCGGGCGCCCGTGTCGCCACGAGAGCGCACTGGTTACTCTGACTGCAAACCTTTCCAAGGTAGGCAAGATGTGACGAATTTGCCCCTCGAACTGCAAATCATGCCACACAGACATGTATTTCACGTGCGCAAGCATGTGCAGCACTTTGTTCCACAAGGCCTGTTGGAGCCGTCGCGGCCCATGCTTCGCAAGAGCGCACCCTATACACTCTTGCCCAGCCACGCCGCAGATGCAATGGAGTCAGCGATTGGCCTCGCTTGAGACAACATTGCGAGCGGAGAGCGCTCCGGCCCAGCTATGCGATAGACCATGCAAAGGGATAGTTGTAATATCAAATAGGTGATCCCCAACAGCACAGGGAAATACATGCACGTCGGAATTCGAGTTCGGAGATGTCGACGCGCGCATCGTGAACTCGTTGCCGATGACGCCGCTGGAAAGCAGAACATTGCAAAGCATGCTTAGGCCGCGTATGTCTGGGGACGCTCGCCGCGCCTCGAACCCCGGAGCGCAGTAGAGCAGAGCCCGCCCAGACAGGGAGCGAACCTTGGCCCTGGCGCCAACGAGCGCATTGCAATTTCCACGCGGTAGCGTCAAGCCCGCGAGAAGCAAACACCAGCGGCTCCAGCGCGCGATCTCGCGCGGTCATCGACATGGCCGACGCCCCTGGCCTCGCGAAGTAAACGGCGCATGGGGGCGAGGCGCAAGCGCGCCCGCCCCCCTCAGAGCGCGCGCACGCTGGGCGCCCTGCCTCAGCCTAAGGCCGATGCAGAAGACCGGCGGCGGGGGCTGATGGAAGTTGCAGAGCCGGAGGCATCTTCCGAAACTGAATGCTGTAGAATGATATGGGCCTTTCTCGAACAGTGCCCCCCCGTCGGAGCAGTTCGAGACCGCCGAGGGGCCCGGGGTCGATCGCCAGGGGAATGCCGCCGTCAGCGCGGCCCAGGAGAACGGCGGCTTGACGCGGCCAGGTTCGGCGCGCTCAGCAGCCCCGCCAGCTGCGGCTATCAGCCGCCCCGGCAACGCGCATTACGTCGCATCTACTACTGAGGTCCCACGGCCCAGCGATGGCTCAACGGCTTTGTCCCGCGACGCATTCGGCGCCGGCGGGCGCGCGAGCGCCCCCGCGCCCCCCCCCCCGCGCGCCGCGCCCGTGAAGTTCTGCGCCGGGACATTTGGCCTCGCCGGTCAGAAAGGCCAGCGCCCCCCCTCCACCCCTGTCGCGGCCCCCCAGGAGACCGAGGCGCCCGCCCATGCCAGTTGGGGGGGCCAGCGCCCCCCCTTTTCGCGGCCCCCCAGGTGGAGCGCCGTCTAGGCTTGAGCAAGTCAATGGGTTCCTTGACGCGTCCTCGCTCTCTCGGGGGGCGGCCTCTGCTCGCGCACTGGGCCCGGGTCGCTTCAGAGCGAGGTGTCGCCGAAGCATCAGATTGGGTAATCAGTCGCCGCTGGAACAGGTTTTGGCCCCCGTCTGTCGCCGCCGCCAGCCCCGCTGCCTCCGCCGCGGGATGGGGGGGGAACCTCGCCAGAGCATGTATTGCCAGTTCCCTTGGCGAGAAGTTCAGTCGCTACGCCCCGGCGGAATCCGGCGGGTCCCGCGGGTGAGCTTTGGCCCCGCAGCGCGCCGCTCGGAGTGTTTGCGGACTTCCCCCAGACCCCAGGGGTCCTTCGCATGTCGGCCCACGTGCGCCCCGATCGCTGTCTTTCTCCAGGGGGCGCTGGGATCTCGCCCGCCGTCCATGAATATGTCCAGGTCTTTGGCACGTAGTACGTCGCCGTTAGAGATTCTAACGTCGCCCAGGACCAGCCAGCGCCCTCAGAGCGCAGTGATCGCATCCACGGCCGGCTGTTCGCTCCAGCTATCACGGCAGGCGCGCGCGCGGCCAGCCACGCAGCAATCGACGCGCCCGTTGTCGAGCAGCATCTTCAGTGCAGCACTCAGCGTTGCTGTTGACGTTGATTGGCGTGCTCAGCCTCACTTCCTTGCTGCGCTGGGTCTGCCACCGCCTTCGGAGATGTCAGGGTGCTTCAGCCCCCCGAAATGCCTGCTCTTCCATCCGCGTTCGATGAGGACGAAGGTGGGTTGTGTGATGTCTCAGATAGACGCGCGCTCTGGAAGTGGTTTCCAGGTCGCCCAGGTGGCCGCCCCTTTTCTCTGCCCTAGGCGATTCGCGCGAGTGCCAGCGTCGCACGGGCGCCCCCCCTGCCTCGCACCGTGCTGGCGGGAGCTGCCGAGCAGAAGCTCGCTCGGGGCGCGCGCCCGCCCCGCGCGAGCGTGGTTTTCGAGGCGGGGCGCCGCGCGCCAGGCTGGCCCCAAGCATCGAGCCCAAAAACGCGCGCGAGAAGTCCGGGTGGCCCCCAATTGCCCCCTTTAGGATATCCGCAGGGGCGCGCGCGCCCACGGCCCACTCTGCACGAGGCAGGAGCAGATCAGGAGCGCGCGGCGCTGCGCAAGAATCCCATGCCGCGCCGCGCCGCGCCATGCAGCGCGGCAGCGCAAGTGCCTCGCTGTCGGGCATCCAAATAGCTCACAGGCCGCATCTCGACCAGATAGCGGCCAAGAAGTTCCCTCGTTGCCAGATGTGCTTGGTCACTGCGCGCCCGCCAGAGGACCAGTCTTGCCCCGACGCTCTGGCGAAGGCAGTGAAATCGGATGCGCGTGCGTTCAACAGTACCTATTGGAAGAATCGGGCCCGCGGTATTCTCGACAGGGGCGCTGCGACATCGCCCGCGTTGAGGAGAGGGCCACGCGGGGGCCCTATGCGGTCGCGGTCGAAGGGGAACTATATCCGCCCATCTTCATTTAGACGCCGGCAGAGCCAAGTTCGAGGAGTTCTGGGGGTCCGCCTCGGGGCCTCTGCACAGGGCCGACGACGTCCATGAGCCCATGGGGATCTCCTCGGTTGCCCGCGCCAGGGGCCTTTCAAAATATTGCAAACAGGGCTCTGCGCGAGGCACCTGCGCGCGCTCTGCGACTGAGAAAGGGGGCCGTTGCTACGAGCACATGCGTTCATTTCAGGCTTGCAACGTCGTTCGCCAGTATGAGATTTCAGACGGGCCTTTGCCTCGTCGCAGCGCTTATTGTTCCACCTTTTGCCAGATCCTTCAAGGCGGCCAATTGTCGAGAGAGGCATGCGCGCAAGCCGCTCAGTTCATCGTTTAGACGCGGCCTGGCGTGGCGCTTGGGTGGCCATGGCGGAGGCGCTTGGGCCCCTTGCTTCCTCCCGGGCGAAGTGCATGAGCTACCATTCGGAGCGCGCGGTCTACTTGACCACTAAGCCCCCTCCAAACACAAAAACACACACAACAAACCAACGACGAACGCGCGCGCGCACGCGCACGCGCGCGCACGCACGCAACAACAGCAACAACAACAACCACAATTACTAGCACGTGGGGACACTCCGTTCTCACCAGTGCCAGGGTTTTCATAGGAGGCGGGCAATGCCCCCACTTTGTGGGGGGGCCGGTTCAAGCTCTACCAAATTTCCAAACGACTCTTCGCCACCACCCACACCCAGCTTCCCGCCCTATGACGTTCGGACACTTCACTTCGTGGCATGCGGACGACCGTGGCTACTATTCAGGGCCCCGCGGCCGACGACGACGGCGTGCGCGCGCGAAGAAAAAACGAATGTATCCCGCATGGTATTATTTGACAGGGATGATGGCCCTGGCAGGTGCGCAACCGTTGTTGCAGAAGTTCGAAAAAGTTGCTCGGAAAAGCCCATTTGACAGAAATGTTTAAAAAGTGTTGGGTTTCCGACAAATCCGCAAGAGCGCGCGGGATGAAGTTTAGACACTTTTTTTGAACAACCATTGTTTTTTTTATGTTTTTATGTTGAAATCGCTACGAACACTAAGGTTTTGGAAGGATTTCGTCTTGCGCGCGCGAATGTCAACTTTACCTTGTTTTTTGCAAGGGATTCTTGAAGTTTGGTTATGTTAGAACAAGAAATGTCCACTTTAGCTCATTTTTGGCAAGGGAAAACGGGGGACAACAAAACAACCGGATCCGGACACCCACGTTTTGCCTGAGACTTCCTCACGAAAATGATGAAAATGTGGCTGCGGCCTAGGCGCGGCGAGGGGGCCGCGCACCAGGGGTCCCAACAATAATTATTCTTTAAAATAAATAATGTTCAACAGCATCAGCAGCAACAACAGCAGCAGCAGCAGCAACAACAGCAACAACAACAACAACGACGAAAGAGGGCGGAACAGTGGCCGCGCGCGCACCTGCTCCGGGCGCCTCGACGACAGGCGCCCCAGGCGTGACGTTGCCAGGCACAGCGCTCCGCAGCGCCATGCTGCTGGGGCTCAGGTTGCCCAGCGGGGGCAGCAGAGACGGGCGCGCGCGCGAATATCTGCCCGCCCAGCCCCCGCCCCTGCCCCCCCCCTGCCCCAGCTGGCGGCGTCGACCGCCGTAGCCCCTGCCCCCCCGCCGCATGGGGGCCGAGGCACCTGCTTTCTTCTAGCTTTTTTTTTGGCCCCGGCCATGTTGGCTCATGCCAGCCCTCGGCCCAGGCGGCCGAGGGTTGGCGCTTCGGCCCGGCCTGCACCCTCGACCAGTCCCTGGGGCCATCCTGACCAGTCGCTCGAGCTGCGACCGACCGCGGCATCCTTCCTTGCTCGCGGTGGCCGCGCCCGGCCGCGCCCGGGTGGAAAGCGCGCCGGCGGCCGTAGGGGCTGCGCGCCCTTGGGCGCCCGTGGCCTCTGCGCCTGGGAGCGCCTTTATCGTGGGCACCGTTGCGAACAACTACGGTTCGGATGCGCTCACAATTTGATTCAGACATATTTCTTTTGGGCGAGGCTGCCCACTGCCGAGGAGTTTAGGCCCCTTTCGTAGGGCGACCCGCTCGCGCACGTGGCGAACGAGCTGTCGTTCTTCTGGCGGGGCCCAGACGGCGACTTAGCGATGCTCTGTCCCCTGGGCGTCCGGGCAGCCGCCATGGTCTCGGCGCGTGCTGCCGAGGTGGCGGGGGGGCCCGCGGCCCTGGCCAGCGCGCGGCATTTGCGCTTCCTGCGTGCAGCCCTTGCGCTCAGCAGCGGGTCTGCGATGTCGGTCTTGGAGGGGGATCGCCAGGGCGACCTGGGCAAGCTCATAGAATCTGCCGGCCTCGGCGAGCTCGCACCTCACACTCACCCCTCGTGCAAGCTGCTCAAGTTTCGTGACGCGGCATAACAATTCGGTAAACCTTTTGCAGTGCGTGGCGCCCATTGAAGGACTCGAAGAGTCGAGGTCGTGAACGGGGGGCAGGGCGTTTGCGGACTGGGTGGGCTGTGGCCTCCATCCATGGTTCTCTTGGTCCGGCTGTCTGCGCGGCCGCATCCTGGCCGCGTCGGTACTGAACCACGTCGAGAGCGTCGCGCGGTTGGCGGCGGACGCGGCCAGCCTGGCGGCGCAAGCAGAGAAGCGCGCCATTGCCTATGACCAGTTGTTCAGGAGCACCGCTTGGACTGCGGCCATGCGCAAGGCCGACCCGCAGGCCTCTACGGCAGCCATGCGCGGTGACAAAGAAGACCCAGTGGCGCATGAGCAGCCAGGCAGGCGCCAGACGCCAAGCTCGCGCAGCCTGGGTGCACGGCCCGGCCCCAGCGCAGGCGAGATGCAGCGCGCGATTGTTCCCGGCGCGTCTTCGGGAAGCGCGACTCGGCAGCGCGGTCCCCGCCGCGTGCTTACCACCGCGAGTGCCCCTTTCTGCAGGGAGCCGGGCGAGGGGCTGCCTTGAGAACCGCCTCCGCCCGCTCGGCATGGCCGCCATCCGCGCGGGACAAGCGGGCCTTCGAGGGCGCGGCGGCCGGGGGGGGGCGGCATGGGCGGCGGCGCCGCGCCAAGGGCGCGAGGCCAGCCTGACGACAGGGCCGACGGCCCGCAGCCCGACCGCGTCGCTCCCGCCCCCAGGGGCGCGACGGCGGCGCCGCCGACGAGCGCTATGGCGCCCAGCTGCGGGCGCCCCTGTGGAGCCGTCGCGCATTGGCCCAGGCTTAGTTTGGGGCGCCAGGCCGGGGTGACGCCGCAGCCGTGCCAACAGCGCGCGCTGCATCGATCGCGCGGGCGCAGCAAGCTGCGTTCGCGCTGCCTGGGCCTGAGGGGAAGCGGGAGGCCTCGCTCCGCGACGCCATTGCGTTGCGGCGCAAGCTCGGCGCAGGTCTCCGCGTTTTCCAGCAGCGACAGCGGGCGAAGTTGGTCAGCTTGCATCGCCACTTTGTCCGCTCGGGCGAGCAGGAGCGCTGGGCGAGATCAATGCCCGACTCCGCCCAGCAGGTGCGCGGTCACCTGCGCGGGGGCCGCTGCTCTGGGCCGCGCTGGCAGCCGTTCGACGCGATGATGCCGCCATCATGGAGGATCTCCGCCTTGGGCGCGATGCGATCGGCGCCGTGCCGCCGCCGGGCACGCGTAGGCCCCGGCCGTAGCAGCGCGCGCCGACCCCTGTGGCTGACATCCTGGCGACGGTCCGCAAGCGCCAGGACGCGGGGCAGCGCGCCGCGGCCGCGGCGCGCAGGCCAGAACTGCGGCAAGCAGCGAAGGAGCAAGCGGCCAAGGGCCGCATGGACATCGCGCGGGCCGAGTCCGTGCCTGCCTTGGTCAGCAGCCTGCGCGCCACGCTGAGCGATTTTGCTGAGTTGCTTCATTTTGGAGCGAGGCAAGATGGCAAAATTCGAGGGTGCCAGGGCTCGCCGACTGGCGGCGTCGCGGCAGCCACTGGCCTCCAGGAGAAAATGCACATGATGGGCGTCGACGGAGTCAGCGCCGTCGTTCGCGCGGCTGCAGGGGTGCACGATTGTTCCCAGCTGACGCTTGCGAAGCTGGACTGGAGAAGATGTTTCACCAAGGCGGGCTCAAGTCTGCCCATCGGCGCTTCTTCGCCTCCTTCGTCGTCGACGCTGGCGAAGGGGAATCCGCGGCCGCGGCCCCTCGGTGCATGACTTTCGCCGGGAGGGCGCAGCCGCGGCAGTGCGTTCGCCTGCTTCGCGCCCTCGCCGCTGTGGCGCGCAGATTATGTTGGCTTCTGGTCGACCACCATGTCGACGACGTGGTGAATTGTGCCCCTGGCGGTGCGTCCGCCAAGGAATTCCAGTTCGTCCTCGGCCTGCATCGCATCGTCGGCTTTGCGGCCGCGTCCGGGTCGGACTCAGAGGACAAATTCTTGGCGCTTCGCGTATCCCCATCAGCCCATCCAGGAACGATGTCCAGGAGAGCTGACGGGAGAAAGGATGAAGAGACGCGCATCGTGAAACAGCGTGGGCAACAACGGTGGCTTGGAAGATCTCTGGTAGCAAATGGTGCGTGTGCTGCTGCTGCTGCTGCTGCTGCTGCTGTTGCTGGCACTGGTGGTGCTGGTGGTGCTGCTGCTCCGACTTCCGCCCCTCATTCCCGCCGCCGCTGCCGCCGTCGTCATCGTCGTCTTGATCTTCGTCGTCGTCGACTCTGTCGTCGCTGCTCTCGCCGCGGGGGGGAGGGGGAGGAGGAGGAGGAGGAGGAGGAGGAGGAGGAGGAGGAAGTGGACAAGAGGAGGAGGAGGAGGAGGAGGAGGAGGAGGAGGAGGAGGTGGAGGAGGAGGAGGAGGAGGAGGAGGAGGAATATGAGGAATAGGAGGAGGAGGCGGGGGAAGAGGATGTGAGGGAGGGAGATGAGAGGAAACGAGGAGGAGGACGAGGCTGAAACAAAATAGGGACAGGAGGAGGAGGAGGAGGAGGAAGCGGACAAGGAGGAGGAGAAGGAAACGGAAGAGGAGAAGGATGAGGAGGACAATCAAAAACATGACGAGCGCTCTTGGATGTTCTTGGGGCCGTCTTGGGCCTCTCTGGGCCCCCTCTTGAGGCCCTCTTGGGCCGTCTAGGAGCCATGCTGAGGCCTCGGATGGCCATCGGAAGCGAAAAGGCGAGAAGGCAACCATCATTGACGTTCTTTAAGTTTTTGAAGGATTCTGGCTTCTTGGAAGCCTCATTGGGAGTCTCGAAGGCCTCTTGGAGCCGTCTTGGAGCCTTCTTGTGGCCTCGTGGAGCATCTTGAGAACAATATTGACGCATCTTCTTCTATCTTGAGCCATCTTGGAGGTCATCTTGGCCTTTCCGAGGCCCTCTTAGAGCCATCTTCGGCCATCTTAGACGTTCCAACCCCTCGCGACCACCCCCGTCCAGGGTAGGGGGAGGGGTAGACCCCTCCCCGAAGGGGAAGAAGGGAGTTGGAAGAGGAAACTCACTAAACCACCTACGCCCAGAGGGCTGGTGGGATTCCCGCCCAGGGCCGAGGGCACCATCCTCGGGGCGTGCTTCCATCTGCTTCCGTTGCGCGGCGCCGCCGGCGACGTGCTCGCGGAGTGGCGGATTTCCTCAGATAAAGCTGGAGCGGGCGGGGTCGCGCGACAGCTGGAGCGGGCGGGGTCGCGCGACATGCTCGCCCGCGGCGGCGTCGAAGCTCGCGGGTCGCTTCGCCTGGGCTTTCTCGCCATCATCTGGGCAGGCCGGCGGCGTTTTCCTGCGTGCGCTGTGCGACCGGGCCCAGGGCGGGAGCTGCGACGCAGACAGGCGTTTCTGGATGTCTGTCGACGGGCTGCTTGACATGTTCGACGGCCCCAGCGGGGCCGATTTGCGGGGGTCTGCGCTGCGGAGCCCGCTGGCGCGGCCGCGCTGCGCCCTCGTCGGCGACGCCCGCGGCCGCGGCGAACCGTGTGGCACCGAAGCGCTGGGGGCCGTCATTTTCGACGCCTGGATTGCGCGGCCGGAGAACTCATACTTGCCCGGCGCGGGCGAGTTGGAGCAGTTCCTGCCGCGGCAGCGGGGGCAGCGCATCAACGATGCGGACTTGGGAGCGCCACCTCGCCAGGGCCGACATCATTCTCGTGGTTGACAGTTCTGCGGCCGAGGGCGTGGTTCGCAAGGGCATGGGCCATTCGCCCGCGCTTTGCTGTTTGCCGGCCGAGATCTGGAGAGTGATCCGGCTCCTGCAGGCGCGGAAGCGGGTCATCCGCTTGCTGTCCGCGGACAACCCGGCGAACCGTGTCAGCCGGCTGGACAGTGAGGCCGCCGCCGTGCTGGGCTGGCGCCGGGCGCAGTCGCCCTCCGCGCCCGCGCGGTGGCGCTTCGACCCGGCATTCTGGGGCCGCGCGTGACTGACGCGCGCCAGCGGCCAGTCCAGTCCGGCGGGGCAGGGCAGCGGCGCTGCATTTCCGACGTGGCCGCGCGCGTCCCCGCCGAAGCGCGACGGAGGCTTCAGGCGCGGGCGCGCGCCGCCGCGGCGGCGCGAACGTCCTGGCAGGGCGGCGCGCGTTGCGCCGGCGGCGCGGCGCCCCCCGTGCGATCGCGGGCTGTGTCGACCTTTGGCGTCGCGTCTTTGGCGCGACGGCGGGCGACCACCCCTTGGCGCGGCCCCCCCCCCCTGGCACAGTCGCTCCGGCACCGCGTTCGCACGGGGCGCGCGGCGCGCCCGCGACCTTGCAACACGCGCCAGGCGAAATTGCGCGCCCGACATATCGAAGCGCGCTGCTGCCAGCGCGGGTCCGCGAATTGCCGCCGTGACGCCGGAGGCCCCCGCTCCGTTCGTGCATGTGCGCTGGCGCCGCTCGACGCCCCCGGGGCCGGCGCGCGCGTCGACGCGCGGGCGCGATTCCAACATACCTCCCGCGCGCGCCCCATTCCGTCGGTTGCCGCTTCGAATGGGTCCGATAGAGCAACCGTTGGGGCAATTAGCTGTGAGTTCCCATACTGCCATAATGGATCGCAGCGAGGCCCCACCATGATGCATTCTTACACAGGGAGTGCCCCCTCGTATCGCGCGTTCGGTTGGGTCGCGGAACTCTTCTGGCCTGGGCGCATGTATATTGAATGTTCGAATAACAGTCTTCGTGCGGATGGACAGTCCATAATGGGAGGAAGCGCTTTTGTTTTGTACAAAAAAACTTTCTGGGGCGGACGATTAAAACAATTGTTTCGCGGGCCTCCTCGCCCCCGCAATAGCGGGGGGGGCAGGGCAGGCAGACGGGGGGCAGACAATTCCGGGTGATGCAATTCTGCACTACGCCACGACACGCCATGCTGTGACATACTACGCTTCGCGGTGCTCTTCAACGCCCTGCCATGCCGTGCTCTACAATGCATCGCGTACCCTTTCGGGATCATTGCCCTGCTCGACATCCAATTGTGCGAGTAGAGAGGGGATCTACGCCATGGTAATGGATGGGAGGGAGGGGCAGGCTGTCATATATGACGCGAGCGCACCTAGCTTGTCCTCCCCCCTCCTCCTCTTCCTCCTCCTCCTCCTCCTCCTCCTCCTCCTCCTGCTCCTCCTCCTCATCCCTCACCTCCCAATCGCCCCGGCCGTCCGCAAGGACGACCGGCGGCCGTCCGCAAGGACGAGGGTGATCAAGCGCCTCTTCGAAAACCCCTTCCCTAATTACCCCGTCCCCCCTCCGCAATCCTCCCCCCGCGGCCGCGGGTGATCAAGCGAGCGAAGGAGGACGAACATAAACTCAGTTCCCCCAAAACGGCAAAAGCAAACGCCGGGGGGCGGACGATTATGAAAACA